CCCCCTCTCCCCCTCCCTCTCTCTTGCCCCGCTCTCAGGTGCAGAGCTGGGCAGTTCTGTTATTGGTTTTATTATCGGCTCCGGAGCATCGCGGCGGCGGTTCCCCGCCTCTGCCTGCAGCAGCAGTGGAATACGTGTAGGGAGGCGCCATGGTAAGGGGGTGGTGCCACTGGCAGGGTGCGCAGGCGGCTATACTTGGCCGAGTGCATCCAATACTTCACACGGGGGACGTCCATGCTGCACAATTTCATTCAACTTAAAAAGGGTTATTTACGACTGCTTGTTGCGTAAACATAAAAGTACTTAGCAAAGAGGGTCGAGGCAACTATGTAAAAGTACCAGTTTTAACAGTTTAAACTGTTTATACCCACATGAGGCGACACGCGACAAAAAAAAAGTCGGTTGTAACTCAGTTGATGAAACCGCGGCGAAATCATCAACGAACGTTAAGTAACTCGAACAAACTTTGAGCTTCAATTTAATTTAACTGCAGAAATGAACGCTGACTTCATAGAGAATGTGTATTCCGTAATACTTTTCTCGTTTTGAGCCGTGCACGCGTGTGCCGGTGCGGAGTGGGAGTGGCGAGCTCTGCAATGCGAGGCCGCACACCGCACATGCATCATTTATCAAGCAAATTACAGGGGGTGGACCAGTGTTATTGCCAGCGGGTCACCCGATCTGTTTATCCAACGGAAGCCAATCATTTGACAATTATTCTTTCTTGCAGTGTAAAATTTTTCCAAAAAATCTCTTTACCGGATGCGTCGCTCCCGCATTCTCCTCTTTCTTCCTTTCCTATGCTAGCATCGGGTGTGTCGAAACGGAGGGACCAGTACGCGGTCATTTGCCTTTGCAATTGTAGCAAATAACAAACGAGCATCGTATGCAAATGAGCGACACCCGCACACACACCGCTATACCACCACCAGCCTCTTATCGCAAGCAGACAGCGCTGCAGCGTGTCCGATGAGGGAGAAACATATGCATTTAGGAGGGTTTAGAGTGGTGCAGCACAACGTTGGCGGCGATACGTAATTGGGTCGCAGAGGTTCATATATCGTGGAAGGCCCAAACCATCGACCGTAGTGCCGCTGCTCGACGACGCAAACGTCCCCCTCATTCCGCCCAACAAACTGTGCAGCACAGAGAGAACTCTGGGGCGCGCAGAGACGCAAACGATCAACATGACAAATAAGAATTAAGCAGGCATGAACGGCTTTCGGCCCGCGGCCGCCCCGACCCATTATAATGGATTCCGCCGAGTCTCTCCAGCAGCAAGCCCGCGCTCGCTGGCTGCGGATAAATTGCTGGAATATTTTTAGCGGCGGAATATTAACTGCGGGGCGCCCGGCCAGCTCGCTCCCCTCCCATTCCCTTCCTGCTATCGGCGCCCTCCAGCGTCTCTGCGCGCGCGAGGTGATGTGTTTACGTAGGTTTACGGGGCGCGGAAATGGCGATAAAAAAAGAAGGGAAGAATAGGGTCAGCTTGACCTTCCGGCCGCCCCGGGCCGCACCCGCATCCCCTCGTCCGTCCCTCCTCTCTCACGTGTTGCGATACCAGGGCCATTTCTCTCCCCGCCAATCCTCGGGATTTTTCTGCGCGTCGACCACAGCAGCAGCAGCAGCAGCGGCCTTGCTCCCCGGCATGTTTTTATGGATGCAGGAGATTCGCACACGGACCCTTTACGGATCAACAGAGGATAGCAGCAGCGCTCGCTCGCAGCCTCTGCACCAAAAAACATCAGCGCCGCCACCACACCAACCACCCTTTGGGCGCAGCCAGCAGAGGACCTGCTGGAGTCGGGGTGAGAGGGGAGGGGGTAGAGGGAATTCCCCCCCAATTTGGCGACAGCCACTTGATGAATGACTCTCTCTCGCTCTCCTCTCCTCTCCCGTCCTGCGCGGACGTGTCGTGAATATGGGCGCCGTCGTTTGCAAGTTGTTATCGAGCACGGATAGGGGTGAGAGGGCCAGAACAGGGCGGAGGGGGTGGGGGTGGTAAAGGGAGAGCAAAGGGGAGAGAGGATGGGGTCAGGGGGAGAGAGGGGATGAAGGGAGAGGGAGGCGAGAGGAAGGGGGAAGGGGAGAGAGAGAGTACTGTTGCTCGCTGTTGCTCAGGGCCGACTAAGTGACTAAAAGCGGCACCCCGAACTGGTACCGCCCCTTGCTTCCGAGAGCATCCGCCCCGGTCCGGCGGGCCCCCCGGCGGCGCGGGATTTCCGCGCGCACATGTGCTGCGCTGGCCGCCGCCGCCTGGTCGCCGACGGCCGGCCGGCGGCCTGGGGCCTGCTGCGGTGAAGGGGATGATGCACTCGGAGGGGGAGGCGGGCGGCGCGGCGGGCGGGCGTGGGCGGGCGCGGCTGGCGGCGCCGGGAGATAGTATCGACCGGGGAGGGGAGGAGAGGGCAGAGCGCCATGTGTCGCTTACGCCCCTTTTCCCCCCTTTCGCTCTTTTATTGCACAGATCATCGTCATCATTGTATATATGGTTGTGGAGGGGATGAGAATTAACACTTTGCTCTCTTCTTGTTGCAGGATGGCCAAGAAGGCGCCGGCCAAGCCCCGGTTCAGCACCCTGAACGAGCACCTCGTGTGCACGCTGTGCAAGGGCTACCTCGTGGACGCCACCACCATCGTGGAGTGCCTCCACTCGTGTGAGTATATTTGTCGGTATAGTATTTGGCTCAGCGCGGCAAACGCGTGTAAGCGTAAGCTTCTCATCCCCAAGCCATGATAAACGACAAAATGACGACATTAAACGGCGACGCGCTAAACGCACGTGGGCTTGGACAAAAGCGCAGCGCGGGGCCGACTCTCGCCGCTGTGCCCGGCTGTCTGTCGTGTGTCATCTCGCGTGCAAGACGTGACGTAGACGGCGGGAAGGGAAGACGGACAACAACAAAAAACCCGAAAGAAATCGCAGAGCCGCATCTCAGCGGATTTGTCATCGCTGAAAGGAAGGCAGAGAGCGCAGCAGATCGACCGATGGATGGGCCCGGCCCCGGCGGCGCAGCAGCGGACCGACCGGACCACCTTGGGGACAGCGGCGGGACGGGGTGGCGCGGTGGGGTGGGGCGGGGCAACGCGGACCTACCAGGCGGCCTCAGCCCCGCAGGGGGTAGGTGAGCGTCGGGGATAGACAGAATAGATACGCCGGTCAGACTGTGAAGGTCACTGGAATAAAATGTGATCAAAGGCGCGGTCATAAGTCCGGCTGGATGACGGAGGGGCCGATTTGCTGGTGGTTGCCAACTTTCGGGAGTTTTGTAGGACATGTTGCCTATCTATCCTAGAGGGCGACTTGGGGCGCACCTTCGCTCCACTTGGGCGCACCTACGCCCCCCTCCTACTATAAGACCGCGCCTGTGTGACCATGACGTCATCTGGGGGTAGTTCAAGGAGCGAGCAGGTCTTTTCCTACGGCAGGCGAAGAAGTGCGGTACCGGCGCGCTCCCTCTTCCTTCGTCGGTTCGGAGGTGGCGGCGCAGCGGGCCAGCCAGCTGAGGGGCCTCCGAGCGCGGCTGCGGCAGCCGAGCAAACAGCTGACTGGGAGGGTACCTTCGGCGCAGAGAGTCGTGCCGTCCGGCCGGTGCCCACACCCCCGGGTGCAGAGGGTCCCCGGCGCGGCCCGCGGGGTCGGCGGGGTCATCGCGGCCCTGCCCGACCCCCCGAGGATCCGTCCCCGAGACCCCCCGCGGCCCTACCCGGAGGGGGTGGCGGGGAGGAGGAGGGAGGCCTACCGATGCGGGAGACGTTTGCCCGTGGCGGTACGAGACTTGGCAACGCCGCGCGCGCCGCCCGGCCCGGGCCCGGCTCTAGCAGCGGCACAGCACAGTGCCCGGCCCGGCCCGGCTCGCCACGGCTCGGCGCCTGCGGCTGCGGTTGCTGCTGCTGCTGCTCCTGCCGCGCTACCGCTACCACCGCTGCTGCTGGCACATTTTGTGTTGTCTGGGCACAGCCAGGCCAGTACCGCGCGGCGGGGCCGAGCCCAGCAGGGCCAAGCAGGCCGTGCTGATGGTGTCCCTGGTGCACACCGGAGGCAAACACCGGCCGTCCTGTGCGGTGCGGGTGGCGGGGCCAAACACAGCTGACCTGCAGATGGCCCCCGGCCCCCGCATCATCTCCGCCCCGGCCTCTCTATATCTCACCGCCGACCTCTCCAGAAACACTCGAACCAAAAGCGCACGGGCCCCCTCCCTCCCCGTCCTCCCTCCACCCCTCCTGCCGCCGCCGAGGCTGTCACCGCCAACGACACACTACCCCCTCCCCACCACCACCACTGGGTAAAATATTAATAAAAATAAAAAGAGTGGAACGTGCCGTCGTCAGCACTTGGGATAGCGCGGGCTGAGGACATGTCCTCGCCTACGACGACGCCGCCGCCGTCCCGGACCCAGAGCAAATACACGACGGCCGTTTAAACGGAAGCCGTAGTCCATCAGCGAACGAGACGCGCGCGGCCCTTCTCTTTTTCCGCACTCTCCAATCTGATTAGCGGGCGGGAGAGCGGCTCTCGCGCGCGCGGCCCCACACGGGAGCGCGAGCGAGCGCGAGCTGGCGATGCAATCCGTGAAAGTGACTTCCGAATCGGCGAAGCCAGTTTCTGCGCGCGCAGCGTGGGAGGGGGGAGAAGGGGGGAAAGAAGGGGGTAGGGGGTTATAAATTTCATTGACAGCGCTCGAGTACTGTACCACCGGAGAGTTTATACCGTACCCCGCCTGTAGTGCGAGTTTACGCGCATAGATATTCCCGGGCGATGAGCTGAGCGCCGAGCGCCAGCGCCAGGCCGCCGTTGCTGCCGCCTTCCGCCCATACCGGATCCGCCCCTGGGATCCGGCCTGCCCTGGCCGCGAGCCACTTCCTTGCTGGCCGGATTTGGGGAGGTGGGAAGGGGGGGGGGGGCTTTTTGCAATGCCACTGTCGTCCGTCCTGCCCGCCGCCCAGTCGGACTTGTGCCCAATACTGCGCGATGTCACCGCGTCGCACCGCGGCGCCAATGTGTGAGAACACTTACTTGAAATTCAAGCCGCAGAAAAAGAGAATCAAGTTAGACCGGTGTAAAAGTAAATGGCGACTTGCCGCGCCCGGGCCGCTGGTCGCCGCCGCCGCCGTGCCCCAGGAGGCGGCCGGCGAGGCGCGCCCAGTGAGCGGGGCCGGCCGCGCGAAGAGCCCGCCCCGCTACTTTTCTCGTTATGTATTAATAAACGCCAAATCGAACGCGCGCCTAATGACCTGACCTTTCTCCCGTTCCAGTCTGCCGGAGCTGCATCGTCCAGTACGTCCAGGCCAAACACTCCTGCCCCCGCTGCGAGGCCCAGCTGGACTCGGGCGACAGGCTCAAGAGCCTCAAGTGAGTATATCGAATACTACTGTACGAAAGTGCGACCACGTCACAAACCTCTCACCACAACCTTTCTCTTTCTTTTTTTCGCGCTCTCCGCCAGGCCCGACAAAACTCTCCAAGACATCATCTTCAAGCTAGTGCCAAACTTGTTCCATAATGAAATGCAGAGGAGGAGAGTCTACTACGACGCCCACCCTCAGTATGGTGAGTATTATTGATTGTTGTCCTGGGCCCAGAGAGAGAGAGAAAAGCCCCGGCAACAGGCAACAATAATAACACGGTTCAACTATGTTTGCAGCTGACCAGACGACTCCTGAGCAGCGGGGGGACTGCCTGGAAAGGTTCTACTCGCCCGACGACAGCATCAGCGTATCGCTCGAGTACCACGACAGGAGGTAAGGAGGAGAGCAGCAGGGCCCGAACAGGACGAGACGAGTCACGCTCGCGTCACGTCACGCCGCATCGGTTGCGCGCCCGTCAAAGCAAGGCAACGATCACGGCGCCGGGCCGCCGCGGTATGGTCGAGATAAGATTAGGCCTCTCCTACAAGCAGTGAGCTGCCCATTGGCCGAAGACGCCACAGCAGCGCCACCGCAGTACGGTACACTGTGGGTCCCCCGTCCGGCTCGCGGGTCCTTTTTACATATTATTTGTAAAACGGTCGCGGACAGCTCCACCATCCTCCTGGACACGCGCGTGGTGGGAGTGCGCGCACCTGCCGCCATGTCACTGCTCCGTCCCTCCCTCCCTCCATCCTCCCTCATCCTCATCCGCAATGTATAAAACCCTTTGAGACCTCTAGGGGGGCCTTTGTGGGCCGCCAGGTGTGTGTGGCTGGCCCAGGGCATACCAACTCAATCTGGCCGGCCGGCGGCCGGCGCGCACGAGTCCCCGCAGGCCAGCTCGGGGAGGGGCCGGCCGGCCGCTGTACTACTCACTTGGGTCCTCAGCCGTCGATGCGAAGGCGCCCGTCGGGGCCCGGATCGATCATCCAGCGGCAGCCCGGGGCAGGGGGGGGATGGGCGGGGACATAACTGCGTCACAGAAAAGAGCGTTGTTGTTGGAAAAATGTCACGAGTCACCGTCTATATCGCCGTCCCTTGTGTCTCTTGTTGCAGGAAATCCTCGGGAAAAAACAGCTCGGCCGACCAGAAGAACCTGCCACCAAAGAGATACCTAAAGTGTCCTGCCTTGTTCACCGTAGGATTACTAAAGAAGTTCCTTAGACTCAAATTTGATCTCCCTCATAATATAATGGTAAGAGCCCGTCGGGCGTCGGGGTATTTGCACGCTTCACGCTTCTAACCTCCGAACTCCGCGAGCAGAACGTTAACTGGTATTTTTATCCGTTTCAGATTGACATTTTTCAGCGAAGGGAAAGTCTAGCAGACGAGTACACGCTCCTAGACATCGCCTACATTTACCCGTGGAAAAGAGTGAGTACGGTTCGGGGACTGCAATCTCCAGCTCACGCCCGCACCAAAACGAACCGATCCCTAATCCCCTGCTGTTGTCCATTACAGAGCGAGCCCATGCAGTTCTTCTACCGCATCCGAGACCCGCGGGTGCCGGAGAGCGACGAGGAGATCGAGCGGGAGATGCCCTCGCTGTCGGCGGCCGTGAGCGGCCGCGCAACGCGAGCATCGAGGAGGGCGTCGTCGTCGGCGTCCTCGCTGGCCAGCCCCATGGCAAGTCCGCGCGCCAGCCCCGTGCCCTACGGCAAGAGGCCCAAGGCGGGCATGGCCGCGGACGACAAGGACGACTCCCCGCCGCCCGCCAAGCTGACGACGCAGCCGCCCAGCGGCGCGGTGCTGCCCAAGCCCAAGCCGGCCGCGGTCGTGCTCGCTCCTGCGCCAGCTGCTGCGTCCCCTGCAGCGGCCCCTGCTGCGCCCGCTGCTGCGCCTCCTCCTGCACCTGCGCAATCACCGGCTCCCACCCCAGCGTCACCGCCCAAGGTGACGAGCCCCACCGGCACAGGGCCCAAGATCACCCTCACCATCTCGCCGTCACGCGGCACTGTCACCTCGACAACCACCGAGCTGCCCAAGCACGACCCACCCGCCGCCAAGAAGAACATCGCGGCGGCCGCGACCACTCCAGCCCCCGCCAAGAACGGCGGCGGCAGCCCCGCCGCGTCGAAGGCGCCGACGTTCGCCGCGACAGTCACCATGAAGACGGCCAACGGGGGCTTCGTCACCGTCAAGAACCCCATCGCTCGGAACGGAGTGACGGTCGGCAACAAGAACACCCCCACCAACGGCACGCCGACCGGCAAAACACCCGTGGCCGCGTCAAAGACGACCAGCCACACGCCCATCGCGCCCAAGCCGGCCCAGCCCGCGCCCAAGAGGCTGCCGACACTCGCGCCCAAGGTGGACACAACGCCGCAGGGGGGCGCACCGGCCAAGCCCATGGCGCAGGCCCCGCCTCCGCCCAAGCAGGCGAGCAAGTCGGCGGACAAGAAAGTCAACAAACAGCCGTCGGTGACGGACAGAAAGACACCCACCAACAACTCACCGACGGTGGTGGACAAAAAGACTCCCGCCAACAACACACCGTCTGTGGCGGAGAAGAAGGGGCCCGTCAACAATCTGACCCCGGTGACGGAGAAGGCACCCGCCAACAAACCGACGTCGGTGACGGAGAAGACGCCCGTCAACAATTCGACACCAGTAGCGGGTAAGACGACGCCCGTCAACAACAAACTGCCGTCAGTAGCGGGTAAGATGACGCCCGTTAACAACATGCCGTCGCAGAACACCAAAGCGCCCACCCAGCAGGTGGCCGACGAAGAGAAAAACAAAGTGGAAACGGCAAAAGCTATTTTGCAGCTTAGCATGGGCGTAAAGCACTACAGCCGCAGCAACACCCCGACAGACTCCACCCTTCATAATCGCATAGACAAGATAGTTAAGGACCTCCAGGACGACGAGTCGAACGACGGCACCCTGGTCATCAAGAGCGAGCCGCCGAGTCCCACGGGGTCCCAGGGCAGCCCGAGGAACTCACCCGTCCCCCGCGACGCCACTGTGACTCCGACGACGGCGCCTTCGGCGTCCAATGCAGAGGTCTGCGCTCCCCTGCCGCCGTCCCTGCCAAGGGTCAATGGTCTCACCATCACGCCCATCGAGCCCACCAAGAGGAAGGCAGCCAGCTCGCCCACCATCGACATGAAGAAGCCCAAGCTTGACAACAAGCGGCCCTCCGACTCGCCCCTAGCTGGTGCCGCGCCAGCCAAACAGGCCAAGGTGGACAAGATCGCCGAATCCATCAAGCAGAAGCAGGAGATGCTGCTCCGCCAGCAGGACAAGCGGCCGTCGACGCCTCAGGGGTCGTCCCCGGGACCACAGAGGTCGTCTCCCGGCCCCATGGCCAACCTGCCGCCGGGTCTGACCATCCACCCTCAAACCCCGGCCGTGCCCAAGCCGCTGGCGCAGGTGAGGCCCGTGGGCCAGCAGCAGGCGCAGCAGGCCGCCAAGCACCAACCGCAGGGCAAGGGGCCGCTCCTGCTGCCCAAGCCGATGCCCACGACGTACAAGCCACAGAATCAGCAAGTCAAGCTCGGACTGCAGCATCAGCAGTCCAAGCTGCAGGGCCAGCAACCCAAGCAAGCAGTGCAGCAAGGCCAGCAGGCCAAACCTGCGCAGCAGCACCAGCAGGCGCAGCACGGCCAGCAGGCCAAACCCACCACCGTGGGGCAGCCCAGCAGCCCCAGCCAGGGTCAGCAGGTCAAACAGTCCCCGCAGAGCTATCAAGCCAAGACCACTCAGCAGGGCCAGCAAGCCAGAACGCCCCTGCAGGTCCAGCCTCCCAGAGCCTCGCCGCAAGGCCAGCAAACGAAACCATCCGCGCAGGGCCAGCAATCCCAGGTCCCGCCCTCCAAGCCATCTCCGCAAGGCCAGCAGGCTCCGCCTGCAAAGCCTCCGACACCGCGGCCGCAACAGCAGTCGCAGCAGCAAGCCCAGCAGCAGACCAAGCCCGCTAGCCCGCAAGTGGTCCAGCCCCCCAAGGCGTCTCCCGTTCAACAGTCCAAACCCGCAGCGCAGCAAACGCAGCCCCCCAAACAGTCACCCACCGGGCAGCCCGTCAAGGTAAGCACGACCGCCCTCTCACGCGAAACACGCGTATGTAGTCTTTCCAGCACGGTCTAACTCTCTCCTCTCTTTGCAGAAGGCGCCCAGCCCAGAGTCACCCGTCAAGAACAAGAAGCCCATCCCGGACCTGCAAAGGCTCCAGAGGCCGCCCGCGTCTATGGCAGGCACCACCGTCAACGGCAGCCTGTCGCTGGCCGAGGTCAAGGAGCACCTGGCCAAGAAGGGCCAGTACAGCCCGCCGGCGCCGAACAAGACGCCGCCGCGGCTCATCGAGATCACGCAGCCACCGCCGCCGCCGCCGCAACAGCAGCGGAAGTCGGCCCCCGGCAGCTCCTTCGGCGCCCTAGACCTCACGTCCGCGTCGCCGCGGGCCTCCGACCACGGCGGCAGCTGGACGCCTCCCCCGGGCTTCATGACGCAGACCCTGGCGCAGACCCTGGCCAAGAGGCAGCAGCTCATGTCGCAGCTGAGGCCGCCGCCCTCGTCGCTGTCGTCGTCCTCGCCCTCCCCGCCTGCGGACGGGCCCGCCAGCCCCGACATGTACCTGGACCCTGGCGTGCTCGCCCAGCAACAGGCCCTGATCCAGCACCTGCACCTCACAAGCCTGCTCCAGGCCCAGGCGGCCGGGCTGCAGGCCAACCTGCACCAGGCGGGGCTCTCAGCTGGCCTCAAGAAGGCCATCGAAGACTGGACCGCGTCCGACAGGATCGGCGTCAAGGCAACCGCCAAGCGGAAGTGAACATGTGATATAAGACGTTTTAGTGGAAACGATTTGCCTGTGATAATCTCCCTTATTTTACTATTCTAGTTGTTCCGAGTGTTAATGTTATTTACATGTAAATCGCCGTACTGAACGTTCGTACTGAACGAATCTGAACGAATATAGTTAGTCCCCAGACGGCAGAACTGAGAGCGTGCCTTTCACTAATCGCAGCACAAAAGCGCCACCACGGTCGTTTTTACAAACAGCGGATTGCGGGGACGCGCTGGCGGATCAAAGCTCTTAGCCGCGCTTCCCCTCTGTGCACGCGTGATTGCACTAGTCAGTACCAAAAGCACCCTCGCAGCTGTAGTTTTACGTGACCCGGCCGTTGGCCTGGCGTTCAAAGTTAATCAAGTACTGTACGACTGAACCCGATGACTGATACAGTGTGTCATAATAGTGTTATCGTGCATCTGATGCACGCCTAGCCCAGCGCATCGCGCAGCTTGTGTTACTGCCCTCTATGGAGGGAGAGAATGTAGTTAGTCCCGATCTCTGCCCTCCATTTATGAACTTTAAATTAAAAGCCTGAATATGATTGCTTCTTGTATGTGTAAGATATCCTTTTACTTTTTCTAAAAAAGTAAGAACTAAGCATTAAGTGGAATATGCTTGTTATCTGTGACAATAAGTTATTCATTTGTAAACTATAGATGTACATATCATGTGTGAAGGCTGACTTGTATATATGACACTTGTTGATGGCGCTTATTAAAATTACATTTTCCTCGTATCAACTTGTTTTAAGCCTTCAAAACTCCCCCTTTTAAAAGACCTAAACGAGAAATTCATCGTCACTTCGAAAGGTCGTCAAAAACAATATGAAAGTTCGAAGTTCCAGCCTGCAGAAAACGCACCTCAGACGACGCAAACCCATGCCGTTTCCGCTGCAGCGGGGCACTGGCAGCCCTGAGCAGCAGCGACGGCGGACGAGCCAGGAAAACACAAGGCGCCTTGTGTATGTAAACATTCCCGGACTCCACCGAAAAAACTTGTCGCCAAAGTCGCTCTGTACCTTTCTCACTCGCACCAATGCACTCGGCCCGCCCGCGCCCGCTCCCAGGCTTGGCGACGTCGTTGATGGCGCTACAGTACATCAATCTTGCCCGAACCGAACAGTCTCGCTCTCTCTCTCCCGCTCAGGAGCTCAGATACCTCGCGCGCGTTACACCTGAATCCGGCTAATGGCCCAGATGGGGCGTCGATTCAATACACGCGGTGAACGAATGGGCCAGGGGGTCGCTTGACTTGCAACTGTTGTTACTGTCGATACCGTGGAGCGCAAAGCGCGGCGCCGGGCACTCGCGCAAGCACATTCCGCTCGAGTACCGTACGCAGCGCGGATCCATACCCGCCCGTTCAATGGGCGACGTTCCTGCGAGGCTGCCTGCAACCAGACAAGTAGTCTCCATTCAGGCCGATCGGGGCGGCCGCCAACGACAGAATGAGAGGGCGGTGCAACACAGGGAAAAGAAGAAGGCACGACCGCGTGGTGTTCCAGAGGTACTTACTCTATTTCCTAATGCGAGTAATGTGAACTGGTGGAAGGGCCTCACAACCATGTAGTACACCAAGTCCATGCACCTATACATCTTACTGCAGTGAACTGGTCGCGTAGGGGTCCATGGCCCGCCGGGGCAGAGGGTCCCTGCTCTCCCTTCTTCCTTCCGGCCATTGGGCTCCCCGGAATGGTCCATTTAGTCGGATATTACAGGCCGAGTCCGCTGCCCCCAACCCTTGGCGATATTTTCAAAGTTGTCGTCGTGTCCCTCCCCCGCCCCTTCCCCACCCCGCGAGGGCTTTGCGCGGGCGTCGCGAGCCTCCCGCG